AGGTCAGCAGAACCAATCAGTTTCTGTGTTAGCATGTCATGTACAACACAATAGCATGATAGAAATTGGACAATGCATTTGGTTGATGAGACCAATTTTGAAACATATATGAGATTAAAAGAGAAGCTAGGAACATAGAGTGCATCATGAAGTGTGATGGGTCTTCTTCTAGATCTGGAGTGAACCGGTGGAAATGAGCTACGATCTATTTGAGGCGTCTCCAAATCGTCTTCGAACTGCTGCAAACACCTACAAGAACTCAACACCGGAAGTGTTTTCGGTGAAGAGCCTCCGACGCTCAAGTCAGTGGAAGTGATGAAGATGAGCTCTGCTCAGTAGGAGCAGCAGCTGGAAAATGAGTAGAGAATGGAAAGTTAGGGTTTGGGGTTACCTCAGCTCCCTTATATAGGAGTAGAACACTTGCTGGAAATACCTAAAATGCCCTGGCCAACTTACGCGAAGTGTTCAAAATGCCATGGTCGGTTCATATTCCGCCCACTCCTGGGTCAGCATCTAGATTCCTTCTTATCTCATAAAAGATTCTCTAGCTTTGAAGGTTTTCCCGCAATGTCGAAGCAGGTATGAGTCGTCGGAGGTCTCATAAGTCGACTTGGGGCCTTGCGGAGTCGACCTGAGGCTACATATCACTACAAGAAATCTGCCAAAAAGTGACGAAAAAATTTGTCATAAAAAATTGATTTTTCGTCACCAAATCTATTTGATGACGAATTTTGAGTGTCACAGCGTTCGTCACTGTAGCCGCGTCATAATAGGTCTATATGACACTTTTTAAATTTCGTCATTTAATGTTAAATATTTATGACAAAAATCGGTGTTGTCATTGTACCGTGGGTGGATATGGTGACGTTTTATATGTCATATTTACCATTATATTTTGTCACCACATGATTGATTTGTCACTAAAAGTTAACCTTTGTATGACAAAAATGTAATGTTTCATCATCTAAACAGTCGTATACGATGACAAAATTAATTTTATCGTCATCTTTAGTACCCTATAATGACAGTTGATTTGTCGCAAATGTCATCTACACTTGTCATCTAAACTACAATTTGTCATTTAATATATTGTTGTGATGACGAAAATTAGTAGTGTCATTGTACATTTGTAAGGTAAGGTGACGGTTTTCTTGTCACAATTATCATCACAACTTTGTCACAAATATATCTACTTTGTCACTAAAATTAACTTTTACATGACGTATTTATACTGTTTCGTCATCTAAACAGTCACATATGATGACAAAAGTAAGGTTATGGTCATATTTAGTACACAATAATGACATTTAATTTGTCGTAAATTCCATTTAATCTTGTCATCTATAATTAAATTTGTCATTTAATGTGTATTTTTTATGACAAAAAGTAGTATTGTCATTTTACGTTTATGAGATTTGGTGACATTTTTCTTGTCATATTTATCATCGAATGTTTGTCACAATATGATCTATACTGTCAATAAAAGTTGGCCTTTATATGACAAATGTAACTGTATCGTCGTATTTTTAAAAATATAATGACAATTATTTTACCTCAAATTCCATCTAATCTTTGTCATCTATAATATAATTTGTCATAAAAGAGTTGTGTTATAGTTACAAAAAATAGTTGTCACCAATGAAATATTTATATTGACGAACGAACATGTCACATTAAAGTTTTTAATATGATGAAATATTTTTGTCACAAGATGAATATATTAAAGATGATAAAATATTTAGTTATAAAAAAAATTGCATTATATGACATGATGTTTATCGTCACCAAATGCATATAAAAATGTGGCGATTAATTTTATCATAAAAAAAAATATATATGACGCAAATAATAATTGTCACTAAAGAAATAGCTATGGTGACTATCAATTTGTCATAACCAAATAATATGTATGAGAAATATATCGTCACTAAATAAATTCATACTAATACTGCAAAACAATAAAAATGAAGCATTCATAATTTAAAACAAAACTAATACTTCAAGGTTTAATTGAAAAACACTTAAAAAATATCCAAATCCACACTCTTATTGCCTAATGTTGCTGAATTAAAAACTGCCTTTTCAATTTGTACCCATGAATGCCATAAGCTTTTCAATATTCGCAGCTTGTTGGTCCATTGTATTCTTCATGTCATTAACAGTTTCTTTGAGCTCACTCACTTGTGATTCTGAAGCTACTAGCTTTTCTCGAGTTTCCTGAAGCTCCTTTTGAAGAAGCTCATTTTGAAGATGGTTGGCGGGAGCATATATGCGCTTATTCAAGCGACTCGTCTGATAACCGAGACCCTTCAGAAAAGTAGATCTTTGACCGAGCACCTCGTGAACTATTTCTTGGTTTGTCTTCTCAGCTCCTTCCGCTATATATTTTTCTCGTCTCGAAACCATCAACTCCTGATGCAATATATTATTATCATTTCAGTAAGTTTACAGTGGAAATCTATAATAGATGAAATATTTGAAATCTTAATAGATGAAATCTGTTACAGCATATGATTGCTCTCATACCAATGGTTAGCAAAACAAAAATGAAAGTGAGAGTTACCCAATTTTCTTTTGCCTCCTCAGTTGACCAACCATGTTTGTCCGTGCGATGTGTGAGTTTGTAGAACTCAATCACGTCCCCAGCATCTCCATTAGCAGCTTCATTATCATCTCCATTAACATCTTTCTCGGCCTAGTCAATATTAAAAAAATGAAGAGATATGAAGGTAATTGCACTCTAAAACATTGGTGTTGAAAATTATAAATACAATGAACAGTACAATATAAAATGAAAAGCACAAGGAACTTAATAATATTTTTGCATTCAAAAAAATAATTTCTTGTTTATAACTTACAATTTCATGTTGAAGAGTAGAAAAAGGAGTTCTCCCAGATATATGCGGTGTCCTTAACAATTGTCGATTCACAGTGTTAGCCAAACTTTGGTGCTGAAACAAAAAAATGCAATGTAAGAAATAATCTCAATATTTTATTTAAGGTACCAATTATCAATCTCAAGAGATGTCACCTTAAACTTAGCTGATGCAAAATAATCACAGAGTTCCTCCCAATTTTCTTTACTGGCACAAAATGGTGGTTTATTATCCTTAGCCTCTTGTAGGGTTGCATAGTTCTTGAAATGCTTATGCATCCTGTAACGCATTTGTCGAGAAGTTGATTTTATCCTATCCACCAAGCAATGCCTCACACCCGGCACATCCAAGTTCACATCCATGTGAATCTAGACATCACATTTAACATATTATTGAATTATTATCAATTATGCACAGGAATTTTATGACAGGAGCCTAGAAGTAGTAAGGATTATTTATTTCAGAAACTTGCAAATGTAATTATATTCTTTCAGCTAATTTAAGTTGATGTGTTGCTACAAGTGAAACCATTAAATTTTAAAAAACACTTAAAATGAAAACAAAAGTGACACCGCATGATTGTCATTGTAACAGAAGCCACGACAAAACCGAAATATGTTTCAAACATAATGCACCATAGTCATGGAAAGAGATCAGAATTGACGCTAAATACCAATGTGAAATAGTTTTATTTAACAAGTTACGATCAACAATTCATTCTGCATTGTCAACTTTCAATTCAAATCATAGCAGAATTTATAATGGTTACAGGCTCGGCAGCCACATGACAAAGCTTCAAACATAACTCTTTGTTTAAAGAGTGATATACCATCTTAACACAATCTTCTCCTGAAATTCTCGTCATTTGTAATAAAGGATATAAATAAATAGCATATTCCTATTTAAATTCTTCATACGTCCAAAGGTGCAAATGCTAAACATCATGAAGGCAAGCAGATGGTAGTAATACACAAATGTGGAATAAAAACATAATCATACATAGCACTTCTAATAGCAGATGGCATGGCAATAATCTGAACATCACATTGATTTTTATTTTTAGTGTGTAGTTACCTTGATATGATCGATGCCGGGTTCCAAAAATTTGTCGTCAGCCATTTCTTTCCATTTTTTTGGCACTGGAAGCACATCACGAGCTACAACACCAATTTTACTTGAGAGCTTTGCAGATTGCTCTCGACTTTTTGGCCGTCCAATCAGTGGATCCACATCTATCTTCATTTTCTTTCCAGTGGCACCAAATGCTTTCATAATTCCCTTACCCATTGTTTGACCACGTCTTCTCTTAGGGGCGGAAGCTTTGTCTGTAACAAAGAACATTACATTATCGTCTTTTTGCAAATATTTCATTCAAAGTTTTTAGAAGAAAAAAAAAAACCAATACTATTACAAATATTGTCCATCAGATAGTCAAGCATAAGGAAGCAATAGTTAATAAAAAGTAATTTCTTTGTGAGTTGTTAGGGAAAAATGCTTACATAGTGTTCACATATTGAATAATTTGTTAATTCACACAAATATAAAAACACATATATGCATACTGAACTGAATTAAAAATAGGAACAATCCATTTTAATCCATTTTAGGTGCTTAAGATTCTAGATTTAATCAGATCAAGGAAATTAAATATAATGAATGGAGTTTATGTAAGGCACAGGAAACAACACAGGTCATGAAAAATGATCTCTAGCCGATATGACACATCGTACATGAAAGAACACAGTTCAAGAAACAATCCAACAACACACAGTCATGAAGCAACTAAAAAAAAAAATAGAGTATTAGCTGTGTACCAGTGATAGCTTCCTGTGATTCAGGGTTTTGATTTTCCTGATGTGCTGGAGGATCGAGAGTGCTTTCATTTTGCTGCGTACCTTCAAGAGTCATCTCCGTTTGCTGAGTTTGAGGAGGTTGAATACTTGGCATAAAAGTCATCTCCTTTTGCAGAGTTTGAGTAGACTGAACGTTTGGCAGGTTGCCCTCAAACGTGGGATTTGTAATTTCTGTTCCTATAGACGAACCATCGGTTATTGGCAATCCTTTGTTCGCTTTGTCTGATCCCATATTGGTCCTCTCGGATTGCCGGTTCTTACCCCTTGCTACACTTCCTGTCTTCGTCATGTGATCAATGAGACTCTGCCGAGAATTCGGTATGATTTTTGTTCTCGAATTCCTAACTAATCCAGGAGCCATTGAAATCCTATGTATGAGTAAAGAAAAACAAACATCAGAATGAAAACTAAGGCATAATTGATTGACTGATGTAAAATAGAAACTAATTGATATAAAGGATAACGTAAAGAACCAAGATATTACGAGAGAGTCTTCTTCCAGAAGAACCGATTGATGTCGAATAGAAGACGGGTTATCTTTAAGACTTGATAATTGTTAGGCTAAACTCTTACTTATATGAGTAAAAGGGTGGAGAGATATTTGCTGAAGATACGGTAAAAATATTTTCTGTGTTTATCTACCTTAAATAGATAAGATTACCAAAATAAAATTAACTAGTGAGCGCCAAAGCAATTTTTTTTGTCCGCCAATGTTTTAGTCATCCAAATCATCCATTAATTTCAGATCTAACACCTAAATAACCAAAAAAGAGCCGATTGATTATCAAAGAAAATGAAAGCCCCGAACCTGTTGTGCTCGATGACCATGGGCGTGACAATGTCTCTGTAAAGCCTCTAGACCAGCATGACCTCCGACGAGACCTCCATCGAGAAGTTGCTGTCCGTCGGCCACAACACCAGCTCCGTCACCAATGCAGAACAGGCCGTCCGCCAGCACCACCCCCAACCTCACCATCATCTGCCTCTTCAATCTCGATCACAAGCGATCGCCGTCTCCGTGTCACCTTCTGCCGCCATCGACCACCATCGACCTCTGTGTCACGCACAATCGCCCTACCAGCTATGAAAATTTAAAAGAGAGAAGTTTACGGCTTCTTCAGATGTAGTGGCTTAGGACGGATTAACTGACGTTCCCAGTTGATATTATCGGCGCACAGTCCTGTGTCCTCATCCTTGCCGCCGATCTCGAGTAGCACGAGGCAGACGACATCAACATTCAATTCGGATTCTATCATGAAATTGATCTGGGTATTGGCTGTTTTAGAGGACACTATGAAATTTGTTACTCAATTGGTGAATCTATGTCGAGATTGTTGGTGAGGATTGAGCTGAATTTTAGGTTTTGCTCTCTGATTTAGGATCTACGAGATGAGATGAGGAAGATGATGATAGGTTTTTTTTTTTCTTTTTTTTGGTTGTGACCGATTGAGTGAGCAGGTGAGATGTATATTATTATTATAAGGTTAATAAGGTATGTGACATAATATTTTAAATAATTAATTTTTTATACAAAAAAATTGTAATTAAATATTATATCAAATTTAAATACTCAAACTAATTAATAATAACTTATACATATCCATTATAATTAAATTTCTTTTTTTATTTATATTAAAAATATTAGTAAATATATAAAAACTTATTTTTTAAAAAAAAATTGGCTAGTTCAAACATATAATTACAGTCGGCAAACTTGTCGAATGCAATCGAGTTGAAATGCTTTGACCCGGTTCAGTCATTAACTCTTAAGTGAAATTCTTAAAAATTTCTAACACTTAAAATACCTAAATTCAATTGAAATCCTAATTTAGAGGACTCTAATTCAATTAAAATTCTAAAAATCCCATCACAGATAAACTAGTAATGTTGGCCTCGCGCACCCGACGGCAGGGCGGCACACTTCTGCATCACAGATATTGATATCAAACGTACAACATATTCGATCTCCATAGTTTAATCTTGAAACTCGAGATAAAAATTGTCATATATATATATTGGCTAGGCTAACAAATGACTTATCTCCCCCATCTATTTTATGTTTATTAATTTTATATTTAGCTAGCAAATATATAATCACGTGTACCACACACACACACACACACACATATATATATATATATATATATATTTAACATTGTCCTATCTAATCGATTCATATTATCTTAAGTGCAATCTATACCGAATCGAACCGAATTAACAACCAAATTATAATATTAGATGTCATAGATCTTACATATCAACTTTCATCATATACAATTTGCATAATTTTAAATTACTTAATATCATATCTAGTAATAATAGTTAAACTTCAATTAAATTTTTATGCTTAATAATACTTGTTCTTCAACTAATTTAAAAATATATTTTTATTATTTATGTTGATTTTAGTCTTATTCAGTCCTATAATTAAAGTGATATATAAAGTTAGAGAAACACTTTGGAAACATAAGTTTTTTCAAAAAAATGGATAACCAAATAGAACCGGCGAAAAAATAAATCTATACATAACGATTACCTCGTAACGATTACCTCGTAATGATAATCGAATAATCACAGATTCGATTTTGATACTTCACAATGAGGTTCAATTTTAACCGAACCAAACAGGATAAAATCTAAAATAACAGTTTTATTAATATTTTTCAATAATATATATATATATATATATATATATATATATATATATATATGCTTGAACTACCCGAAATGTTAAAACTAAAAGAAAATAATAGAACGGAAATCTAAAATCTCGAACGAAACATTCTAGTTTGTTCGGGTTTGGTAACATATATAGTTATATATAGTTTAAGAGTTATTAATATGCAATTCGTGTAACATTATTGTGTATGGTTTCAGTTGCTATTGTGTTGTATGAACCGATCGAACTATTATAATGAAATTCTTATAAAATATATTTTCATTGCATAGTATAAAACCTTATGATGAAAATTAGTAAAATATCTTGAAAATTATAGAAGGAATTTAATTTTTAGAATATGTTAATCAAAGTTGTTTAATTATTATAAAAAATTAAATACTAAAATAACATGTGTGTATATTTTGTAAAATATTTATACACAATATTTTATTTTGAATTTATTTACGTAATTTTATTTTATTACGTTAATAAATAGTATTAAAATACATCAAACTATAATGAAAAATAGTATTTTTTACTATATAAAATCAAAAACAAGAAGAAGACTACTTATATAACTTTTATAAAAAAAAAAAAACTATAATGATATTATATGACAACAAATTCCATAAAATGAACCAAGACACGAACAAAAATGAACGTAAATTTTTGTTTAAATATTTAATTAAAATGTTAGAATATATAGTCGAACTCAATCTCAAAAACTTTAGCCTAGGCTCGATTCGATTTGATAACATCCCTAACTCTTTGTTGACATTCTAAAAATTTTACCAAGTGTTAGTTAGAAATCCCCAAGTCAATTGAAAGTCAAGTTTCAATTGAAAATACGTCACTCAAAATACAAAATCTGTTCCTCACTTCCTCTTCAAAATCTCTCTGAAAATCTAAACTCAATTGAAAATCATATCACAGAATTCCTTTCGCACAGATTCGCACTCAGAATTCACACAAGATTTGCACTCAATTAGCACTCTCAGTCTTACAATTTTTCGGCATCAGGTGAGTTGCGAACTTATTTTCCACGGATTCCTACCGGGTAGCGACCTATCCTTTCACAGATTCGTCTCTCTGTATCTCTATCCTTGAAGCAAAGATAATTTTTTTTATGATATATTCATGGATTCATTGTCCGAAAATAGCAATATTGAGTATTAAATTATGACGAGAAAGAGGACAATTCTTGCTCCTGCTTGTTTGACTCGTTCTGCCTGTTTGTTTGGGCCAAAATTCATCTAAAAGTCAGTTGTTTTCAGTACTTCAAGGTTGTTTATATGTGAAAATTATTGCAAACCTGATTTTCAATACTTGTTGTATATATGTGCTTAAAGTGATATCCTGTTTTCAGCTCATTATATGTGCTTAAAGTGAGCTATTGTATTCAGCTCATACTAGTTTTTGTTTGTACGTTTGAGATTAGTAGTATTAGTAGGTAATAGTTATTAATCCCGTCGTTTTTTTTTTTTTTTTTTNNTTTTTGGATTTAGCTCTGGTAGTAGGTATCTTCTTTAGTTCTACTTTTGGGGTAGGTGTTAATGATAGAAGCTCGGCATTGGTGTTGCTTTGAAACCAAACTTTTCCTCAACTTCTTGATCTCAGCTTCATGTGTTTCCTTGGTTTTAGCTGCATATTACTCTTCTCTTCTTCCTTTTTCTGCAATTTTCATGTAGTTTTGAATAAAATTCTTTCCTTTTCTCAGCCCTTTCGTAGCATTTGAAAACTTGTCTGAATCCTGCCCAAAAGAAGATGCTTTTCTAGTTCTGGTTCAGGGTTTCCCTATCCTTACTAGTTCTATTCATTCCTAACCTTCCTCAAACCTCTCATCCAAACAACCGGCTGGC